CCTCCTGTCCCTGGCACGCACCAGATGGCTCTGCGTCCTTCCACTGCTCCACAGCGTGTCCCTCTGCCGTCTCCTCCTGCGTCCTCTCTTCCTGCCCTTGCTGACCCGGTGTCTGACTCCCTTCGTGCTGCTAGTCCTACTGTCACGCGTCTCCTGGCCACTGTTGTCACTGACCCTTCCTTTCAGTCCACTGCTGCGTCTGCCTTAGTTGCTGAGCTTGTCGACTTTGCTGCTCACTGTCGTCTAGACTACGCCGCTAGTCTTGTTGCTGAGTCTGAGTCTGTCTGTCCTCCGTCCGTCGGGGGTGAGTGTGCTCTTAGCACGGACGTCCTTGAGGACATGCAGGAGGAGTTCCAGTGCTTTGCTGCTACTTTACCTCATCTCGTGTCCATGCTGCTTGCCCCTGAGGGAGACCCGGATGCACCAGACATCCCGACCCCGCGCTCTTACGCAGAGGCGATTGAGGGTCCCTACTCCTCTCAGTGGCAGACAGCCATGGACGCAGAGATGGCTTCCCAGGCACCTACGTCGACGAGGTTCCCCCACCTGGGGCGAACATTGTCGATGGCATGTGGATTTTCAGGGTGAAGCGGCCGCCGGGTTCTCCGCCTGTCTTCAAGGCGCGTTACGTGGCTAGAGGCTTCAATCAGCGGCTTGGAGTTGACTACTTTCATACCTTCTCTCCCACCCCGAAGATGACCACTCGTCGGGTACTGCTGCACGTAGCTGCTCAGCGTGACTACGAGCTGCACTCTCTTGACTTCAGCACAGCCTTCCTACAGGGCAGCCTGCACGAGGAGATCTGGCTGCGCCGCCCACCTGGCTTCACTGGGTCGTTTCCTCCTGGTACCCAGTGGAGCCTCCGACGGCCAGTCTACAGTCTCCGCCAGGCGCCCCGTGAGTGGCACGACACACTGAGGACTACGCTTGCGGCTCTTGGGTTTGCTCCTTCCACTGCTGACCCGTCGCTGTTTCTCCGCACCGACACTACTTTGCCGCCGTTCTACATCCTCGTGTACGTCGACGACTTGGTCTTTGCTACTGCTGACACTGCTGGACTGGCCCACGTGAAGTCGGAGCTGCAGAAGAGACACACGTGCACAGACCTGGGTGAGCTGCGCAGCTATCTTGGCTTGCAGATCACCCGGGACAGAGCACGGCGCACCATTACCTTGACTCAGTCACACATGGTGCAGCAGGTCCTTCAGCGCTTCCGCTTCACGTACTCCTCGCCTCAGGCCACTCCTCTGTCTACTCGCCACTCGCTCTCAGCTCTGCCTTCGAATGAGCCCGTACAGCCGAGTGGCCCGTACCCAGAGCTTGTTGGCTGCCTCATTTACCTGATGACCTGCACTCGACCTGACCTGGCATACCCTCTTAGCATCTTGGCACGCTATGTTGCTCCTGGGAGACACCGACCAGAGCACATGGATGCAGCTAAGAGGGTGTTGCGCTACCTGTGCAGTACGTCGGGCATGGGGCTCGTGCTTGGAGGACGGGCTCGAGTTGTCCTCACTGGTCACGCAGGCGCTTCTTGGGTTGACGACTTGGCTACGCAGCGGTCGTCACAGGGTTACACCTTCAGCCTTGGTTCCGGCTCTGTTTGGTGGCGGTCTACCCGCTCGTCCTCTGTTCTCAGCTCCAGTTGTGAGGCTGAGATCTACGCTGGGTCCATGGCTGCACAGGAGTTACGATGGCTCACCTACCTGCTGACCGACTTGGGAGAGCCGCCTCGTTCTCCTCCAGTTCTGTATGTCGACAACAAGGCCATGCTTGCCTTGTGTCAGGAGCACAGACTGGAACACAGAATGAAGCACATTGCTCTGCGCTACTTCCTTGCTCTGCACTACTTCCTTGCTCGAGAGTTGCAGCAGCGTGGTCAGCTTCGTCTTGCTTACGTGGCCACTCGGGCCAACACTGCTGATATCTTTACCAAGGCACTTCAGCCTTGTGATCATCAGCGCTTTTGTACTATGCTAGGTCTTGTGCCTACTTGGCCTCACCTGCTCACTTCTTGACTTTGCTTGTACCGTGATCTATATATACCTGCACCTGCATGCTTACCCTTGCTAGGTTGAGATCACTGTCTTGCTTATTCACCTTGATATATAACTCTGCATGTGAACTGGCCTTGTGGCCTTGTACTTGTGCTCAGAATGCGTGGTGACGTCGTGATCCACCCTGAGCTTGCCCTTGCCTTGTTCTCTTGCTTGTCCCCCACTTTGCCTATGGGGGTGTGTCAGAACCATATTGTAGGCTATAGTGGGGCACTCCTTATGGGGTACAGTATTGCTAGGTTTTGCCTATACAAACCTTGTACTGTCATGTTTCTAGTCATTCCTTGTTCTATCTTTCACACTGGCCTGGCATCAAGTCTTGGAATTTGCCGAAAATTGTTCAGGGTGACACCTTAGGTATGTGTTACAGTGTGTTTCGTTCATGTTACAGTGTAAAGTAGTGTGCATCATTGTACCTTCATTCCGCATGTTTTATTTATGAACGCAACCATCGCACATGTCTGCTTCCGATCTCTCATCTCATCTCCGCCTGATTTACCCGTCTGCAGTCTTCAAGTGGGGCCACAGTTGCTGGAACAAGGTGGCTGGCAAGAAGCACAGTCTGGCGACCGCCAAAGACAGAACCGCACTGGACGCATGCAACACCAAGGCTGTCGATAAGGTGGTTGTTAAGGCAACCGCCAAGGCTAAGAAGTCTATCTTGCTTACTGGGGATGTTTTGTACTATAGCACGGTTGGAAAGGATTGTGCCAAGAAGGGCATGGTGCTGCGACTTAGCTTTAATTAGTTTTGTTATAGTATTGCATGTCCAGATCAGAGTGCAGTGATGTTGGAACTACCGGTATGAGGTGTGGTCCATCTGCAAAAATTCAACACTTCTCAACTCAGATATGGTACCTTGTTTACCACTGTGGGCCACCAAACCAGTGTCTATTTTGTTTTTGTGCATTTCTTACAGAACTATAGGAGGTAAATAGAGAATGAACTACCCGTATAGTTCCGGCTAAAAGACCCGCCGGTAAGAAGGTCCCCCGGGACTCTTGAATGGGTAGGGGGACTCTTATTGTGGCAGATTTTGTGAGGACCCCCCTTTTGCATCTAATCATCATAAGACCCCCCCTTTTCTGTATACAGTAGTTATTAATGCTATTGTGCATCAGTTTTTTACTGGCACAAATTTGAATTCTGACACGTTTTTTGTGTCAGACTCGAATTCTGACACTTTACTTGTGTCAGATCGAATTCTGACACAGATCTGACGTGCCGCTCGCGCGAAATTTGCGCGAATTCGGTACGAATATAAGACCCCCCCGCCCCAAATTGAGTTGTACACCCTAAATAACAGATTGATAGATGATAAATAAGTGTACCCCGGGTCTTAAAAAAATGCAACCGCCAAGATGTCCACCCTAGCATTTTTCCAAGCAATTCTAGAGAGTCCCCCGGGTCTTCTAGCCGGAACTATACGGTATGATCACAGCTGCCTTGCAATTACAACTTACGGTACTGTACCCAGTAGTACAGACGGCCACTGAGGTAAAGTAGTGTCAGAGGTCTACTGGTGATCCCCGATTGATTCTAGGGAAGGATTACAGGCTCGTTGTCCTGGGGGGTTATGGGCGCACTGACCCGCTACTTAACAAGCCATTTTATCTCAATGGTCTAGTGGTTGGGATTCTGACATGGTATCAGAGGGAAGGTCTCGGGTTCGAATCTCAGTGTGTGCACTTCGGGCATCCCAGTGCGGGGGGGTGTCAGAGGTCCACTGGTGATCCCCGATTGATCCTAGGAAAGGGTTACAGTCTCGTTGTCCGGGGGGTTATGGGCGCACTGACCCGCTACTTAACAAGCCTTTTTATCCCAATGGTCTAGTGGTTGGGATTCTGACAAGTAGTACATGCCATGTCAGCCCTGATCAATCTGTAATTCTTTAGCCTGCCCCTAAACGAATCTGAGTGCCATCATTACCATTGGCATCATTCATTGCACATCTTCTCCCAGAGCCCATGCAGGGCCATAGATGGCCACGTTGGTTCGCCCATACTTTCGATCCTTGATCTGCGCAGCATGGAACGGGGTGGGGAGAAACGCCATGTTCAGCACAGGACAGCAGGGAGGAGTGGAGTGTTCATCCCTAAGTTGCTGTCACGTATCGACCTTATGACACCTAACTGGTGTTCACTCGGATTCGCCCATACTTTTGATCATTGATCTGAAGAGCATGAAGTGATCTGAACAGCATGAAGTGATCTGAACAGCATGAAGTGATCTGAACAGCACGAAGTGATCTGAACAGCATGAAGTGATCTGAACAGCACGAAGTGATCTGAACAGCACGAAGTGATCTGAACAGCATGAAGTGATCTGAACAGCACGAAGTGATCTGAACAGCATGAAGTGATCTGAACAGCATGAAGTGATCTGAACAGCACGAAGTGATCTGAACAGCATGAAGTGATCTGAACAGCACGAAGTGATATGAACAGCACGAAGTGATCTGAACAGCATGAAGTGATCTGAACAGCACGAAGTGATCTGAACAGCACGAAGTGATCTGAACAGCATGAAGTGATCTGAATAGCACGAAGTGATCTGAACAGCATGAAGTGATCTGAACAGCATGAAGTGATCTGAACAGCATGAAGTGATCTGAACAGCATGAAGTGATCTGAACAGCATGAAGTGATCTGAACAGCACGAAGTGATCTGAACAGCATGAAGTGATCTGAACAGCATGAAGTGATCTGAACAGCACGAAGTGATCTGAACAGCACGAAGTGATCTGAACAGCATGAAGTGATCAGAACAGCATGAAGTGATCTGAACAGCATGAAGTGATCTGAACAGCATGAAGTAGGGAGAAACGCCATGTTCATGACAGGAGGGAGGAGTGGAGTGTCTCGCATGGCAGCAAACACGGCCATAGATGATGGGAAGGATTAAGAAAAAATATGCGATACGCAGCAGAAACTATAAAATCACCTTATATAGAGGACCGCATGTGTCCAAGATCTCATCCTTAGATTTGTTTGGATACTCCACGACCTGGCAGGATGCATGCGATACGATGGGCAGTGTGAGGAAGACATGGAGTTAGCTGAATTTTGGGTCGACTTGGAGTTAGCTGATTGCATGATTCCATAAAATACACCAGCCACACCATGCATGTTTCTGGGTGCAGCAGCGGCGAGGCAGCAAGCTGGGTCATGAGTTGACTGTACAAACATGCATCCATGATAACTTCCCCCTCCCCCCCCTCCCCCCTCCGCACGCACACCATGAATGCACCATGAATGCACGCACGCACCATGCATGTCTCTGGGTGCAGCAGCGGCGAGGCAGCGAGCTGGGCCATGAGTTGACTGTACACGACGAGCTCATAGGGGGGAGTCACACTGATGAAGGTGAAGGGCCCTCCCACCCACTCGGCTGGGGGAGGGAGAGAGAGGGGAGCAGGGAGGGAGTGGTGAAGGACAGGACGGGAAGGCAGCAAGTTGGGCCATGAGTTGGCTGTGCACGACGCGCTCATAGGGAGGGGTCATGCTGATGAAGCTGAAGGGACCCCCTACCCACTCGCCTGCGAGGGCGACAAGAAGAGTGCAGAGCAGGAGGGCGGTGGGCGGGAGGACACATGCAGGGTAAGAGCAGGAGCGCTGTTGCGATGAGATGAAGCTCACAGGGCGAGAATCACGCTGATAAAGTTGAAGGGGCCTTCTACCCACCCACCCAGCTCATGCAGCTGAAGGGCCTTTCCTCCCACTCGGCTGGGAGGGTGAGGACGGGCAGGGAAGAACGAGTGGAAAGGAAGAAGAGACGAGTGGATGCACGGACCAGGGCAGTGAAGCTGCAGGGGCCTCCCACCCACTCAGCTGCGAGGGCAGAAAGAACAAGTGCAGGGTTGACCAAGTGCAGGGTTGACCAAGTGCAGGGTTGACCAAGTGCAGGGTTGACCAAGTGCAGGGTTGACCAAGTGCAGGGTTGACCAAGTGCAGGGTTGACCAAGTGCAGGGTTGACCAAGTGCAGGGTTGACCAAGTGCAGGGTTGACCAAGTGCAGGGTTGACCAAGTGCAGGGTTGACCAAGTGCAGGGTTGACCAAGTGCAGGGTTGACCAAGTGCAGGGTTGACCAAGTGCAGGGCTGACCAAGTGCAGGGAAATGAAGGGGGTGGCGTGAGGGAGGTCATACAGGGTTGAACGAGTGCAGGACGAGCAGGAGTGAGAGGGGTGGGGCGGGAGAACGCAACGGAGTAAGGGAAGAAGAGAGAGGAGGCAGAGGGCTGAGGAGGGATCAGATGAGGAGGAAAAGTGCCCCCGTACCTCCTCGTACCTCCTCGCACCTCCCCGTACCTCCTCGTACCTCCTCGTACCTCCTCGTACCTCCTCGTACCTCCTCTTTGCTCCGCTTGCTGGAGAAAGGACCCGACTTTGGGCGGGTGGATGGTGGTGTGGGAGGAGGCGGAGCAGGCTTCAATGTTGGGGGAAAGCACAGAAGATACAACCCACGGGTCCATCTCCACAAAGTGCGCCTGGGAAGAACAGGGGAAAGAGGAAATGCAGAGCGACAGAACGGCAATGATGGCCCGTCGGGCAAAAGTGCAGAAGCACAGAGGAGACAACCCATGGGTCCATCTCCACGAAGTGCGCCTGAGACGGGGAGGGAGAGCAGAGGGGAGAGAGGCAGAGCGACAGAAAGACAGAAGGCAGAGAATATGACCCATGAACCACGGTTCCGCCTTTATGAAGCGTGCCTGAGAAGGGAAGGGAGAGCCGAGGGAAAGGGGCAGAGGGACAGAAGGACAGGAGCGCAAAAGCACAGATTCTGGGAGAGCGGAAAAATATGACCGCACAATTTAATCTGCAAAAAGCGCGTTTGAGGCAAGGTGGGCGGGAGGGAGGAAAGAAAGGGAGGGAGGAAGGAGTGCAGCGAAATAAGGGGACAATAAATCAAGCCGGACAGAATCACCTGCCCATACCTTCACCCTCGAACCCCAGGAGGATGCCCAATGCCCATGCCACCAGTGAAGGGGCGGCACGGAATGAGTGCGGAATGGCATGTGTGCGGCACACCACTCAGTGCTCATGGCCAGCCCTTCATTACTTGTTCACATCCCAGGCTCATCGCTTCGCCACGCTGCCTGTACCGCTGTACAGGTCCAGCCAGCATGAGCATTCTGCTTGCCTGGCAGGTTCTGCCCATGCTGCCCATGCCCCCCATGCACCCCATGCCCCCTCTGTGTGCTACACTCCTTCACCTGTCCACACCCTCTGCTCATGTGCTCATGGCCTCTAATCCAACGCTCCCCGTGCCACTGTACAGGACAGGTCCAGCCAGCACTGTGCAAGTGCTGTCCGTGCCTGGTGAATCCCTCCCCGCCCGCCCTTCAATGTGCCTCACTGGCTCACAACCCCTCACCTGCGCGCACCCTCTGCTCATGGCCTCTAATCCAACGCTCCCCATGGACGTCCAGCCAGCGCGAGCACCTCCATGCCAGCCCTGCCCTGCCCTTACCTGCCCAACCCTTGTGGCCTCACCTGATCACACCCTCTGCTCATGGCCTCCAGTTCCACGCTCCCCGTGCCGCTGTACAGGTCCAGCCAGCGCATGTTGCATGCCTGCCACTCTCCCCCCCACCCCCCCCCGCTCCTCATTACCTGCGCACACCCTCTGCTCATGGCCTCCAATCCAACGCTCCCCGTGCCGCTGTACAGGTCCAGCCAGCGCTGTACAGGTCCAGCCAGCCAACGCACGGAGGGCCGCCCTTCACACGAGGGAGCCCCGCCCCTTGTAACCCCTTTTTTACCTGTCCACACCCTCGGCTCATGGCCTCCAGTTCCACGCTCCCCGTGCCGATGTACAGGTCCAGCCAGCGCGAGCCAGGCGGCAGGCGGTGGCCAAGCTTCCATTCCCCCACTCCCGGTTCACCCTTCACTCGTGACAGCCCCTCACCTGCCCACACCCTCGGCTCATCGCCTCTAATCCAACGCTCCCCGTGCCGCTGTACAGGTCCAGCCAGCGCGAGCCAGTCGGCAGGCGGTGCGGCGCGTCCAGCAGCGCGTGCAACATGTCGAAGACCGCCGCCCGCACCATCTCCATCATGGGCCGCACATTGCGGTCGGCGGGGGACAGAAGACGCCTCCCCCGGTTGGTGCCTGACACAATCTAGGGAGGGGGACAGGGGGAGGGGGGAGGGAAAGGAGGGAAGGAGAGGGAAAGGGGAGGTGGGGGAGAGGGGAAGAAAGGGAGGGGAGGAGGGGGTGGGGAGGAAGGGGAGAGAGGGGAGTAGGAATAGGAGAAGAAAAGTCTGGTGTCAGTGGCTTTAGGCTTTAGGGATAGGGTTTTAAGTGGCCGCCCGCACGCCCTCCATCATGGGGCGCGGGTTGTGGTCGGCGGGGGACAGAAGACGCCTCCCCCGGGTGGCGCCTCGGACGATCTGCGGGGGACAGGGGTGAGGGGGAGAGGGAAGGAACGGGGAGGATGGGGAGCGGAGGAAGGAGGGGGATGGGGAGAGGCGGGTGGAGAAGGAAGGGTGGGGATGGTGCAGAAGGGGCGGGAGAGGAGGAGAGGCAGGACGGGTTAGAGGCGGGAAGATGAGGGAAGCGGAAAGGAAAGCGGAGGGAGAGGCGGGGGGACATCACAAACACACATACACACACAACCACACACCCACACATTCCCACAACCCCACAAAACCCCCTCTTCCTCCCTCCCACTCAACCCCCCCCCCGCCACTCCTCTCCACGCACACCCCCTCACACACCTTGAGCAGTTTGTGTGTGCTGCGTGTCTTCCCAGGATCCAGCCCTGCAATTGCCGCCGCCTCACTCCCCCCCGCCCCCGCGCCCATTGCCCTTCCGCCGTCCGCTCCCCTGCCCCTTTCCGCCCCCCCGCGCCCTTCCGCGCCCCCCGCCTCTCCGCCCATGAGCGCGGCGGGGTCGACGAGCCACCCCTTCCCCAGGGAGAACACCTCCTCGCTCACCGACGCCCCCCCGCCCCCTCCGCCGCTCCTCCCCGCGCGCTGCCCATCCGCGGAACGCGCGGGTTTCGACTTCCGCCTGGTGGACTCTACCAAGTAATTAGGGGAGAGGTAGGGGTTGGGTAGGGGTAGGGGGAAGCGGAATGTCCAGAAGCGGATGGTACAGCGTTGAAGGCGAGTGCAGAGGCGGGGAAGAGACGGGAACAAAGGCAAGGGCTCACGCACGCGCTAGTGGAATACCCAATCGAACAATTAATGAACCGATCGGATGTTAGAATGACGCAGAGTGCGTTGGAACGACTCGAGTTCGAGGTGATATGCGGCAGCAGACTGTCAAGAAACTGTACTCACTCGGCCGTCGAAGTGAGCTGGCGTGCCGGCCGCACTGAACGACTAGCCGTTGACTGGTTCGAGGGTGGGAACAGGGCGCTGGGGTTGCGCGCACTAATGGTTGTTCTTGTATTGAATGAAAGAACGTAGAAGTCAATGCCATGGTTACGTCACGTGAGGCGGAAAATGAGTGATGGCCGCGATCGTTTGCAGGACTAACTGGAATTTAGACAGCTGCTGCCAGCAAGTTCCATAGAGAGCAAGCACACAAGTCAGGTATGACGTTTCTGGTAGGGTTCTGAGGGCGTGTCCAGCGCGTACATTTACAGCTCACTTGCCGCTACAGTTACCACATTTCTCAAATATAACCTCCATTCTACATATTTTCTGGACTCGCACACCCCAAGATGTAAAACACGGACACAGCCCACATGTCTGCCGAATCGTGAAAATGACGCACAACGCACGTAACAACTGCCTCATTGAAATGCTACAGTGCCGGACTTAGCGAAGTTTACCTTGTATTTTGCGAGAATATTTTCGCCTAAAATTTAATGTTCACTTTCGATTTCCGCGTCACGCGACGCTGTCGTGTGCGAGAATAAAGCTGACGATATTCTGGTTACAGAATTGTGCTGTCTCCACTGTCGTACATCTGCTGCTAGGGTTGTGCTGAGTGGCGGGTTGTGTCCACCCGCTCATTTCTGGACACAAAAATTTGAGGGTACACCTGGCAGTTCGATACATGATACATATACGTAAATTTTAGTAAAAACTCCAAAGTGAACGCGCTGGACACGCCCTAATGGCGTGGAACCTGAAACTTGAAACGCGCACATGCAAGTTAGCGAATTTCGTGTCCTGCCTGCCTCGCTCAATCGATTTGAACTTCGCGTCATGCTGTTACGGCATAACGAGCAGCTCGAAGTGTAGATTTTTCGTCTTGGAATCTTTAGCGAGCCGCGTCAGATTGGGGAAATGTACACAACAGCATCCACCCAAATCCACGTAGATTTAGCTGGTTCCGTGGCGTTGTGACGAAACCACACATACTGCACCATTCGTGCCGTAAACTGCAGCAAGCAAATCGGTCAGGACCGTTTGGCGAAAGTTTCAGACTCGATGTGGCGAAACCCTCTGTTCATTCTTTTCAAAACGTAGGCGTCAATCAACGGCCAACATGAATCCTCTAATCAGCAGAACCCTCACATCGACGGGTTAAAGCTGCGGTCTACATACCTAGAGCGGGAGGCCTCAGATTATCACTTGAAAACAGGGTGACCAGTTTTTGAACTCGGCCACCTTTCCTGCAAAGCTAACGGTTTAGAGGGGTGGAGGGAGGGGGTTGGGGTTCGCACGAGCCAGTGAGCAGATCCCTTTCACTTCGCAACCACCCTTGCCAAGCCACAGCACCGCTTCAACAGCAGAACACCCCTTCCAGCTCTTGTAGCCCTTCCACAGCTGGGATGTGCGTGTGTGCGATTGCGACGGATGCAGCAGAGCGAGTGTGGTCTGCCTGTCTGCTCACCGCCTACCACGCCGTGACGCCGACTGCAATTATTCCTCCCAACCACAGCCCTCCGTCCCGTCGACCTTTCCCCCCCGCTCCTTCAACCTTCCTCGCGGTAGGTCCTGTGCTCCGCCTCGCGTTTGGGTCCCAGCTGAAGGAGTTGAAAATGCTAGTCCTTTGTATTCTCCATTGCAGCTTGTACTGCGGTTCCGAAAGCTCCTTGAATCCGCGAATAGCGCCACCAAGAACGTCGAGCGGAAGTGGAAGATCTAAACCGTTGATACTCGCTCCCAACAGATACGCCTCTCAATAATATTGATCATAACGAGATGTGGTACACTATTCGCGACGCGAACAAGAAAGCATGGCTCTCGCAGGATGACGACCTAGTCACTATTTCGCCTTGCCGAATCGCGGATGCCCTTAAACCTGAAACTTTGGACGACCGAAAGTGTGTTAGTAAAAGCAGCAGCCAATCCGGACCAAGCCAAAGGGAGCAGGATGTTCCGGCGAAGATTCTTCAAGCTGAAGAAACGGAAGTGACGGATGAGGCTGAGAAGAATCTGCGCGACGAGAGTCAGGAATGGCAGTTTTTGGACGCGGGAGACGGTTACCACACGATCAAGAACCGGCAATCAGGCGATTCCATCGGCCACTGGCGAGGCGAAGGCGTGACAGCCGTTCCAGATGCTGACGTGTCGAATTTTAACCACCATTGGAAGCTCTACGACGTGGGGAAAGGCCTCGTCGCCATCAGAAACCGTTGTACAGGAATGGTTCTGGCGCGTTGTCTCGGTACCGTGATGGCGTATAACGGGGATGAGAGGAACCCGAACCACTGGTGGAGATTAGAGGAGGTGTCTCCGTCAGCAGTGTACTACGTGGGACCTTGGGAGTTCATCCGGAATCGCAGGAGCGGCAAGATGCTGCAGCACTCGCATCAGCAGCAGCCGTTGACGGATTCCGTCAAGTCTGGCAGCTCCGTCACTACTACCAGCACTTTTCAGTCCAACTCCGTCCAAGCGGTAGATCTGATCCCCGGCGACGTCACCCAGCAGTGGCGGCGTGTTGCCGTGTCAGAGGGCTACACGTGTCTCCAGAACCGCTCCTCCGGCTCTCTGCTCACCACCGGCATGACGACTCTTGACTCGCCTCAACAGCCCCCTCGGCTCACCGCGATCATCAGCACTGGCAGTGCTACTAGTGGGACGAAAACATACAATAACGCTGCTGCGTCACTGGCAGCAGCAGTGGCAGTGGAAGTGCCAATGGAAGCACAGGCGAGGGACAACGAGGTGACTCGCGAGGGCAACCAGTGGCTTCTGGCGGAGGTCAACGGCTTGGAGATCTTCACGCTGCAGAGCCGCCAGGGGGGAGCGTTTCTTGAGAACACGTGCGGGGCGACGGTGCGAGGAAGTTTCGGGGCGGTGGAGACGAGCACGTGCTGCCAGTGGGCTGCCATTCGTGCGGATGACGTGGCGAGATCCACGACTGAGCTTCTTGAGGCGCCTAAAAAATCCATTCCGGAGCTTGCACTTGGTAAATCCACACCCCTGCCGCCCGTGCCGCCACTCTTGCTGCCAGTCTCGCTGACAGACGACTCGACACCTGCCACACCGACAACGCCCATCAAACTCGAACCCTCATCAACATCACCATCAGCAGAATCTGGCCTGTCCCAGCCGCCACATGTGATGCCGAAACTCCTGTCTAATCCGACAAAGAGGGCGGTTGAAGGGGGGATAGAGTTCGCGGACAAGGGGATTGACGGGGCGACTGAAGCGGAGCGTTACTCCACCACGGCTCTACCCGTGCTCCTCCCCTGGAGCTATCTCCGTAACCGCGTCACCGGCATGGCTCTTGCGGCGCATGCGAGTGGCAGCGTGGAGGCGCGGGAGTTTGAAGGCGGCAGCCTGCAGCAGCAGTGGCGCGCTGTGGGTGTGGGCGTGGTGGCAGCAGCACCAGCCGTGTCTTACTTCTTCCTCCAGAACCGCGCCTCTGGGTTTGTTCTGAGCCACTCCTGGTGGGGCAGCCACGTGGCAGCTAGTGACTGCCACGTGGCAGGGAAGTACAGCCAATGGGAGCTGAGAGGTGCGTGTGGAGGGTTCTGGGCGATCAAGAACCGGGGCAGCGGGAAGGTTCTTGATCATTTCTTTGGGATAAGCATTCAGGCTTATAGTGAGGATGAGCTGCAGTACCAGCACCACTGGACCATCACCCCTGCAGGGACCACTGGTGGGAAGGCGCACTGGGAGCAGGAGGAGGAGGAGAGCGGTGACAAGTGGTGCAAAGCGGTGCAGAGTGGTGGTGAGGGGTCTGCGAGCCTTGCTCTCGTGGTGGACCGGCCGTGGAGCTACGTGTTTAACCGGGACAGTGGGAAGGCGCTAGCTGTGTGTGAGGAGAGCATAGAGGCTGTGGATTATGAGTGGGGAGCCTTGGAGCAGCAGTGGCGCGCAGTGAAGACGGAAAAGGGTTACCATGTGTTACAGAATCGAGCATCCGGGCTGGTTCTGGATCATTACAGCGGGCGGCGGATCGGCGCGTATGATAACGATTTCAGCAGCGAGTATCACAAATGGCAGCTGAGAGACATAGAGGGAGGCGTGTACGTTGTAGTGAAGAACAAGAAAACGGGTATGGTATTGGATCATTACTATTGGGAGCGGTTGGAAGCGGTGGGAGGAGATGAGAAGAACAAGGCGCAGCACTGGAGGGTGGTGCCAGCCAGGCAGATGGCCCGAGAGGGCATGGGTCCCCAGCCTTCCCCTGAGACTGAAACGGTGGTTGGAGATTTGATTTCCCTCTGGGAGAGAGACAGTGTGCCGAAAGGGGAGCTGAAGGGGGTGTATTTGGTGGAGGGCGGCAAGCCTCGTCACGGCATTCGGGTGGTGAAGTCGGGGTTTCGTCGCAGCCGTCAGATCCACCTGCTGCAAGTGAGCATCCAAGGGCTTGCATACGCGAGTGTGGCTGTGCCGGCTGGCGTGGAGGTGGGGAGGGGGAGGATCCGGGCGGCGCTGAGGAGGAGTGCAGAGGGGGGAGGAGAGGTGGTGGTGGTTGACTCGCTTGACCTGCTGAGGGTTCCCGAGGTGGATGGGCCGTTGGTTAACCTTGTGGTCTTCGTGGGTGTAGCTGCGGATCAGGTTTGCGTGTGAGAGTGGGGGGTACAGGAGGTTGACAGTATGGGATGGAAGTGGTTTGTTTTGTACATAGTGTGAATGTGGATGAGTCATGCCAAGGCTCCCTTCCCTAACCTCCGCCCTCCCCCCTAACCTTCTCTCGCCCTCAGTATGTTCTCTTTGTCATTGGTTTGATTGCTGATTTTGGATTTTCTCTTTTTTGTCTCCATGTATATTTATAAATGGACCTATATATTATGTATGTAACTTTGTGTAATTTCGAGCTGTGCTCTTCACACTGTCCGTCACCACTACATTGCGTATATCGCCATAGCGCGAGCTTGCTATACCGAGCTTATCTCGTAACTACCCAACCCAGCCCAACCCATGTAAAACCAACCTAACCCAAGCCTTCTTGCACTCAGTGTCCTTACAAATTGTGTCACGCACGAAAGCTCTCGTCGTGAGTCGTGACTCGTCGCAAACCAGCCTCGGGAATACCTTGACCGCCTGCAACTCACCAGACAACAGCAGCAGCGATTTACTGCTACTATTATCTCTTTTTCGCCATGGCCAGTCGCGTCCACCCTAGCTTTGTCGTGCTCCTGCTTTACAGCCCAACGTAATGTGTGGAGTTTGCGCCTCTGGTTATCTGATACCGCCGTTGGTTTCTAGGGCGTTTTATTAATAGAGTTGTAGGGTTTCAATCAACTCGAGGTTGTAGCGGACGGCATCACGTTAGCTTCTGCGAGTACGCGTGCTCCGTTATAGGGGGACGCTTGATCGGCTTTAGCGTTAATTTTGTCGCAATGCAAGTTGCTTCTTAATTAAGCCATAATTGGTTGCTATCGGGTTCGTTACAGTATCGCTAGCTAGTTGCATATCACCACACAGATATCTTCTACTTCGTAGTACTATATATACTGATTACTGTACTGATTACATATATTACGATCAATCGCCTCTCGCGTTACCCGCCCATGGAAGTTGCCAGAAGCTCCAGCAAGCTCGTCGCCAGATAGCGCCAGCCAATCAGCTCACTCCGCTCGCCGCGACAGTCGCTGCGACTCTCGCGCGCGAACGTGTCGCGGCACGGATGGAAGGCGACTCGATGCCCGCGCCGCCCACACCGAGGCCGGGAGGCTCGCCGCGGATCCTTGTGGCTGTCGACGAATCGGACGGCGCCGAGGCGGTGAGTGCCGCGCGTGCTGGCGCCGCTTCTCCTCCCCCTCCCCTCCCCTTCTCCCCCCCCCCCCCCCCCCCCCCCCCTCCACTTCTGCTATCCCTCTCTCCCCCCTCTTTCTCCGTTCTCCCCCTTCTTTTTCCTCCCCCCCACCCCGTTCTCCCCCTCTCCCCTGTCGTTTCCCCTTCCCCTCCGTTTCTACCCCCGCCTCCTCCTTTACCCCGCTTTCCTCCCTTCTCCCCTTTGCCCTCCTCATCACACATCCGGTCTGCCCTCATTCCCCCCCCCCCCGCACGCGGAATCAGCGCCTTTTCCTCACCCTAGTAACGCCTGTGGGCTGTGTTAAGGGCAAGCCGCTGCGCCAAATCACACCCTCGTTTTGACCCAGTGGGTAGCGAGGCGTTATACCTGCCGCCTTGCCACCTTTTCCCATCCGCTCCTCCTCTCTTCACCTCTCCTCACAGCTCCGCACCTTTCCCGACCCCTCCCATGCCCTTTCCCCACCCCGCCCCCTCCCCCCCCCCCTCCCCCCTTCCTCCCTCCCCACCCCTTCCCGCCCCCACGTGCGTGCGCGGGCTGCCCCCGCAGGCCTTCCGCTACGCGCTCACGCTGCTGAGGCGCAGCGACACCATCTACGTGCTGCACGTGCTGGACCCGCGCACACGTATGTTGCCCCATGTTATGGCATACTTCATCATACCATACTATTCCATGTGCCACTGAGCCCTATTGAGGCGCAGCGACAACATCTACGTGCTGCACGTGCTGGACCCGCGCACACGTATGTTGTCCCCTCCGCCCACAAATGCCATGCAATACCATGCCACGCCATGCCATGCCATGCCATACCATACCATGCCATGCCATGCCATGCCATGCCATGCCATGCCATGCCATGCCATGCCATGCCATGCCATACCATACCATACCATACCATGCCATGCCATGCCATGCAATACCATGCGATGCCATGCAATACCATGCCATGCCATGCCATACCATGCCATGCCATGCCATGCCATGCCATGCAATACCATGCCATACTATGCCGTGCCATACCATGCCATGTGTCAATCCCCCCTCCTGAGGTGCAGCGACAGCATCTACGTGTTGCACGTGCTCGGCCCGCGCACATGTGCGTTAATCCGTGTCAGGCAATGCTGTGCTGTGCCGTGCCGTGCCATGTCATGCCATGTCATGTGTCTGTAAACCTGCTGCCACCCTCACACATTCCCTATCCCATCCGTTCTTCAGCTTGTCACGCCACCTGTGGGCAGCAGTAGCACCACCCCCCTCTTTTCTTCACCACGCCTCTCTGGTCGTTCCACCCCATCCCATCCCATCCAACCCCATCCAACCCCATCCCACCCCATCCCACCGCTCGGCCCTGGCAGTATCAGCGTGGCGGGCGGAGGCCCAGCAGGCGGGGGCGGGAAGCAGCAGCAGCGGCGGCGGCGGCGAGGTGCAGGCAGCCATAGACGCACGTGTGGATGCTCTGCTGCACCGCTACCGCAAGCTGGCGCACGGCAAGGGGGTGAGTGCCACTTGGTTGGTTGGGGGTGAGGGTGGTGCACGGGGTGTGTGTTGCGGGAAGCAGCATCAGTGAGGTGCAGGCAGGCAGGCATAGACGCGCGTGTAGATGCGTTGCTGCACCGCTACCGCAAGCTGGCTCACGGCAAGGGGGCGAGTGTGGTGCTGGTGAGCGGGGTGCGTGTGGTGGGCGGGGTGAGTGTGGTGGGCGGGGTGAGTGTGGTGGGCGGGGTGCGTGTGGTGGGCGGGGTGAGTGTGGTGGGCGGGGTGAGTGTGGTGCAATGTGCACAGGAAAGCTACCCACAGGTTCAGGGCTTAGGTTTTAGCTACTCACACATGTTGATCCCTCATTGCACGCACTGTTGATCAGCATGTCTCAATACTCATGTACTCCTCATCAGCCACTCCATTGACTTTTGAGTCAACTCAAAAGTCAACTCGCACTGTTGATCAGCATGTCTCAATACTCATGTACTCCTCATCTGCCACCCCATGTGATCTGCCACAGCGTGTCGTGAAAAGCCACCCACTGGTGGGTCACCTCTACAACAAGCCTGCATACCACACAGAATCAACATGTAGCATTACATACCCCTTGCTCCGCCACACTCACGCCACGCCAGGTGATCTGCCACGGGGTGTCGCGCAAGGCGAGTGATCGGCGGCAGGAGATATGCGAGGCGGTGGTGAGGCAGGACATAGAGCTGCTCGTCGTGGGCACACGACACCTCAGCGCTGTCGCTAGGTGAGAGGTGATGGCAGGTGAGTCAATACTGGTGACGCCAAGAGGTGCTGCGGGTGTAACTGTATAGGGAGGTGGTGCGGCAGGACATAGAGCTGCTGGTCGTGGGCACGAGGCACCTCAGCGCCGTCGCTAGGTGAGTGCGCTTGGTGATGTGATCGCTGATGGCAGGTGGGTGGGTGGTGCTCTGTTGATATGCGAGGCGGTGGTGAGGCAGGACATAGAGCTGCTGGTCGTGGGCACGAGGCACCTCAGCGCCGTCGCCCGGTGAGTGGCCGCTAGAGGTGCCTACAGGTGTGACTGTATCGAGCTGCTGCTGCTGCTGGTGTGGCTTCCCGAAGCGGTGGTGAGGCAGGACATAGAGCTGCTGGTCGTGGGCACACGGCACCTCAGCGCTGTTGCCCGGTGAGTGAGGGCTGATGTCGGGTGAGTGAAGTGCATGAAGGGAAGTGTGAGTGACTTCCTGCTGCATGACTGGCGTCTCTCGTTCTTCTTTCTCTCCTCTCCCCGTCCTTTCCATCCCCCCAGCTCCTCTCCCATCCCCTTTATTTCCCCCGTGCCCACCTTGCAGGGCCGTGAAGGGCAGTGTGAGCGATTATCTGCTGCACAACTGACGCCTCTCATTCCTCTTTCTTTTCCCTACCGCCCCATTCCCCCTTTCCTGCCCCATGCCCACCCACAGGGCGGTGAAGGGCAGTGTGAGCGACTATCTGCTGCACAACTGCACGTGCCCCGTGCTCGTGGTGCCCTGGGAGCACATGCTCAAGTTCAAAAGCCTCTCCTCCTTCAACGCCCGATAGGTCTCCTGCCATCCCGCTAGCCCCTCCTCTTTCAACACCCGCTAGCCTCCGTCCGTTCCATCCCTCTTAAAAGCCTGCTTGGAAGTGCAAGGCGTGGCATGCTCTGCAGTTCAGGAATAAAGCTATCTTGCTCGTGGTGCCCTGGGAGCACATGCTCAAGTTCAAAAGCCTCTCCTCCTTCAACGCCCGGTAGCCCCTCCTCTGTCAACACCCGCTAGCCTCTGTCCGTTCCATCCATCTCGCACAAACGCCTGCCTGGGAACACACAACATCCTCTCCAGTTCCAGGATCAAAATCAAACGCCTCTCTTGCTCGTGGTGCCCTGGGACTCGGGAGCCGGGCGGGCACACATGCTCAAGATCAAGAGCCTCTCCTCCTTCTCTTTCTTGAGCATCCGCTAGCCCCCATTCCTTCAAGTCGCACTGGTCTCGATTCGTTCAGAGCCCACTAGCTTCTCCTCCCTCCTGATACACTCCTTACACGCTCACTCCTTATGCTGCAACCTTATTCTGCGCTGGCCTATTATCTGCGCAACTGCTCGTCCCAAGGAGCACACAATGCATGCCTTCCATCCTGCTGCACTATCCGATTCGTGCTACCATCTCCCCCCGTCCTTGCTCCCGTCCATGTCCCACTAGCATGTTATGCTTGCTTGGTTGATCACCGCTCACAAGTCAAAGTAACGCACCAGTATCCTGGCCTGGGGCCTCCCGTCCTGTGTGTGCTCAACGCTCGTCCTTCAAGGCACGCAATGCAAGCTTTCCGTTCTCGCATATTGTTTGGTCACCTCACCACGAGCAAGTGCGTATGTATGTGGCACTGCACACCAATGATACCTGCCTGGTGCCTGCTGTGCTTGTCCTGTATTGCACAAGTCAAATTCCTTTTCTCTGCCACAATCCTCGGCCATGACTGATGATTGCTCATCCCTTGGTAATGAAGAACTTATTATTATTATATAAGCCTCTTCTCCTTTGTATGAATAGCTTATGACGTGGTTTAGTTATTTAGGGGGGCTTGACCTCATATGGTTTGGTTATGCAACTAGCTCGCTTTGATAGCTGTTAGCAAATTGTGTTTCAGAAATATCATTTCATAGTTATTAGTATTATTGCTGACATTGCTGTTACAGCCTCTTCACTGTATCTCCAACCCTGACAAAGTTGTCACATCCAGGTCCTATACTGAGGTGGCGCGATCTAGCTCGAAATTCGCTGAAGCAGCGAGAAATCCGTGACAGCAGCGCGATCTAGCGCGAAATCCGCCACAGCACTGTTCTCCCTTCCCCCGACTTCGAGTCGCTCGTCGCATCTTCAACCGTCGCCGTCACGAGTTACCGGCTGACCCAAAGCGACGTTACCACTTCCAGTGCCGTTACCAGCACGCCAGCCGACGTCGTTAGCGCTTCAATTGACGACGGCTGTGGGTAGCCGGCAGATATGACGGCCGTCGGCGATGACGGGACGGCAAAGACTGGCGAACGTCAGATTAGACGGAAGTACGCGCTGACGGACGTGCTGCGGACGTCTGCGGGCCTCGAGTACTCCGTTCACAGTTGAGTGAGTCTCTGTCGCGACGCGGATTGAACCCGCTGGCCTAAAATCGCCATCTCACAACGCTTCTACGGTCACTTCGTGGTTCCAAGGGCATTGAATGCAATACGGCCCGTGACGCCAGCACGTGCTCTCCACGTGCCGTTCTAACTCTCGTCTCTGCTCAACAGTGCGTTCCGGCTGCTGCTTACATCCGCATGCGACCATCCATGCGACCATCTATGCGACCATCCTCCTCCCCTGCATCCCGTAACCCACCAACACCATGCCGACCATAACTTTCCCACTTCCTCGTTACCTTCCTTCCCCTTTACTCCCTTCCATCCTGCCACAGCTCACGTCCGCGTGGTTCAATTCATGCAACCATCCTCCTCCCCTTGCATCCCACCGGCCCCTTTCCTCCTCGCGCCCTCCCTCCGCTCCTCCTCACCATCTACTCCCTCTCCTCCCTCGGCCTTCTCTGCCGTTTTTCTCTTCAAGATTTTGAGACGTCTCAAATCTAGACGTCTCAAATCGAGGCGTCTCAAAACGCTTCCTCTTCACCATCTCCTCCCTCTCGGCCCTCTCTCTGCTGCCTTTTCTCTTCAGGCTGCCCGAGGCAGTACAAGCAGGACATGGAGTCCCTGTTTCCCGGGCAGGACGTGTCCAAACTTTTAATTCTGCCCACGCAGCAGAGGGCGCGGGTGGATCTGGTGAACACGGGCGAGGAGGTTGAGAAGGAGAAGGATCGCCTATTGGAGACGGTAATAACGAGTATGGAGTGCGGTAGTGCGGGCAAGGGTGCGGGAGCGGGTGGGGTGGGTGCGGATGGGATTGGGGATGGAGGTGGGAGGGCGCGGGTGGATCTGGTGAATACGGGCGAGGAGGCTGAGAGGGAGAAGGACCGATTGCTAGAGACGGTAATTATAATAACGAGCATGCAGTGTTCTGAGTCGACTCAAAACACGCAGAGGGCGCGGGTGGATCTGGTGAACAGGGGCGAGGAGGGTGAAAGGGAGAAGGACCGCCTTCTGGAGACGGTAATAACGAGTATGGAATGCGGTAGTGCGGGTGCGGGTGCGGGTGCGGGTGTGGGTGTGGGTGTGGGTGTGGGTGTGGGTGTGGGTGTGGGTGTGGGTGTGGGTGTGGGTGTGGGTGTGGGTGCGGGTGTGGGTGTGGGTGCGGGTGCAGTTGGGGTTGGGGATGCAGGTAGGACGGGTTGCGCGGGTGGATCTGGTGAACACGGGCGAGGAGGTTGAGAAGGAGAAGGACAGCCTGCTTGAGACGGTAATTGTAACGAGTATGGAGTGTATTTTAGTCCTGTGCCAGGTCGGATAACGGATTTACAAGAACTTGCCCGCCTTTCCATCTGACCTCGTGATCTGCCTCTCACAGCAGCAGCAGCGCTTCCCTCACCCGCCCTGTGCCCTTTGTGCTTCTAGCCTCCAGGCTCCACTCCCGTCCCTGCCAGTGCTTTTGATTTCTCAGACTGCTTGCCCGCCTCCTCTCTGCACCTCACTGCCTCCTCCTTTGGCCTACCACCTCTTGCCTCTCTCACAATGGCCCTGACATTCCCCCCCTTCAACCCCTCATGCCCGCCCATCTGCCCGCCCATCTGCCCGCCCATCTGCCCGCCCATTTGCCTGCCCCTCTGCCCGCCCATCTGCCCGTCCATCTGCAGTTCGCAGCGTTTGCCTCAGATCTAGCCTGTGCAGCGCCTGTCCCAGCAGGGCCACTTCAAACACAACTCTCCACGCATCCTGTCTCTGCTCCCTGCGCCAATGTCTCTTCACCCCGCTGCCCGCCCCTCTGCCGCCCTCTCTGCCCCCCTCTCGGCAGTTCGCAGCGTTTGCCTCGGGACTGGTGGAGCGCCTCTCCCAGCACGGCCACTTCGCTGATTACATCGACCCCTGCTCCGGCCTCCCTGTACGTTCCCCCTTGACCACATTGATCGCATTGACTACATTGACTACATTGACTACATCGACCCCTGCTCCGGCCTCCCTGTATGTTCCCCGTTGAGTCGTTGACTGCTTTGAGACGTCTCACAACAGCCTCCTTGACTGCATTGACTGCGTTGACCGCAGCTGCACTGACTGCATTGACTGTCTTGACTGCATTGACTGTGTTGACTGCATTGACTGTGTTGACTGCATTGTCTGTGTTGACTGCATTGACTGTGTTGACTGCATGGACTGTGTTGACTGCATTGTCTGTGTTGACTGCATTGACTGTGTTGACTGCATTGACTGTGTTGACTGCATTGACCTGTGCGAACAGTCACATCCCCTTTCAACCACATGATCAACATTCCCTCCCCAACATCAGACTGGTTCACCAAGTACGTTAAAATTCTACCTATGGTGAACCGCCGCAGCCAGACGTACTACGGGGGGGGGGCAGAGGCGGCACAGACATGGCGGCACAGACATGGCGGCACAGATGGCGGCACAGACATGGCGGCACAGACATGGCGGCACAGACATGGCGGCACAGACATGGCGCTAGAATCCCCTTCCTCTCACCTCTCCATCCCCTCCCCTTCCCCCCTCACCAGATGGTGAACCGCAGCAGGCAGACATGCTATGGTGAGGTGGAGGCGGCACAGACATGGCCCCATATTCCCTCCCCCCCCCTTTTCCCCACGCCCAACACCCCCCTCTCTTCCCCCAAAGCAGATGGTGAACCGCAACAGTCAGGCATATTAAGGGGAGGTAGAAGCAGCACAGACATGGCCCTAGAATCCCCCTTCCTTCCCCCTCCCCTCTCCCCTCCACACCAGATGGTGAACCGCAATAGTCAAACATATTATGGCGAGGTGGAGGCGGCACAGACGCTGCTGGGGCACCCGTGACCAACGCGGGCTGCTGTACCACCTCCCACTCCCTCGCTCCCGCCCCACACCCCCTCATCCCTGAACCAGATGGTGAACCGCAGCAGCCAGACGTACTACGGCGAGGTGGAGGCGGCACAGACGCTGCTGGGGTATCCCGTGACCAACGCGGGCTGCTGTCCCACCTCTCACTCCCTTGCTCCCCCCCCACACCCCCTCATCCCTAAACAAGATGGTGAACCGCAATAGTCAGACATACTATGGCGAGGTGGACGCGGCACAGACGCTGCTGGGGTATCCCGTGGCCAACGCGGGCTGCTGCAAGGTGCTGCTGCACCCCCAATGGGGCTCTGCTGTCTACCCTGCCACCTTCTTCACGTCCGCTCCCCTTGATGTACTGCTGGAGGCCTTGAAACATGTCAACTGAGTGTAGCGATGTGATGTGAGGCACCACTACCTGCCTGCAAGCTGCTGAATGCTCTGCCTGCGCATGTCTGCTCTGCTTGACGTGCTGCTAGACTATAGGCGTTGAAGCACGTGGATTGGCTAACCATGGTTTAGGCAGCAGCAGCAACACCTGCAGCATGTTGCAAGGTGCTGCAAGGTGCTGAAGCCTCTGCTGTGCAGCCCTCTGCTGTGCAGCCCTCTGCTGTGCAGCCCTCTGCTGTGCAGCCCTCCAACTTTCATGGGGCTCTGCCTCTGCCTCTGCCTCTGCCTCTGCCTCTGCCTCTGCCTCTGCCTCTGCCTCTGCCTCTGCCTCTGCCTCTGCCTCTGCCTCTGCCTCTGCCTCTGCCTCTGCCTCTGCTCTGTACCTACCCAGCCCTTTTCTTCCCGTCTGCTTCCCTCACCAAGGGCTTGAAACAAGTGGATCGGCCCATTGGTGTTTGGAGCAGTCATGTCACACAGTGACTGTAAAGAGTGGTAGTTGCAAGGTGCTGCTGCGAGGTGCTACTGTACCTGTTGGTACCTATGGCATAATGGCATCCATCCATTGGTTCAGAACAATATACACTTATAATCCTACGTTGAACTTACAAAATAATGATGACGCTGTTACGAATAGTGGTTAGTGAAAACACCATTGATCACTCCTCACCGTAGCAAAGCCGAAGCACGCAGTATCGAGAGTGAAGACGAAAAGGCAGAAGTAATGCGAAGGGACAGACGGTTACGAGAAGCATCTGGACCGTCGAGCAGACAGTATCAGGCAGCAGCAGTGGCGAGGATTCTGCCCGAACAGTTCCGTAACCACCCGGAGTCGCACGGTTGGATTTCGCTGTAATAAGGGAATGTACCCCTTAGAGTACATGGCTAGCTAGGTCGTTTCGTATTCCCCTGTACTCTTATTTATATTCCTTGTACTGCATGTTTTTATTATCTCAAGCATTTACATTCACTCTGCTATTGAGGTCAAGGGCCCACCACCACTAGATTAGAAGTGTGCGAACCTTCCTGAGGTGATCCTGGTTACGATCAACTTCAGATCGCAACATGGTATCAGAGCGACTCAGGAATCCTTCGCACCGCCACCTCCGAAATCTGCGACTTTCGGAAAGTGGCGTCCGGCACACGATCACGAATAAGAATGGCCGGAGGATCTGGAGGTCAGACGAATCTGACGGCTGAAGCGCAGCCCAACCCGGCTGCGACAAGCGAGGAGACGACGACGATCCCTTCCGCCGTCCTCGCACAACTGCTTCAGCGACTCACGAGCCTGGAGCAAGGACTCCAGACATTGCGGAATGGCGACGCGGGAACTTCTTCCCAACCCACTCAACCGGCGTCAAACGGCCAGAACTCCGCCCCGCAAGGCTTCTCTCTTGACACAAATGGCTCAACACCCAAGACTCCCTGTCCCAGCGATGAAGCAATTCTCTCTGCGCAATCACGATTTTTGAGCATATCAAAAATAAAGACAAGTGTGTGCTTTGACGGCAGAGATTTTTACACCTGGAGCTTCGAGCTGGAACTGCTGCTGCAAAACGCGCAGATTTATCATTACTTCGACGGGAGCTACTCGGGACCTACGGAGGACACTGACGACGCAAAAACCAAGTACTACAACGAGTCCCTGATGGCGTATGGGGTTCTTCTGCGGAACATGTCGCCGACGGAGCAGCTGAGCATTCGCTCATACAAAACCTCCCCTGCTCCAGCCCTCAACGTCTGGCGCCACCTGAACGGTGTGTACCAACCCAAGGACTCAGTGTCGTCGAGCCGCCTGCTTCAGCAGCTACTGGAGACCAAGATGGCAACAGGAGAGAAGGCCAACAGCTATCTGAATCGCTGTCGGAGCTTACGCGATCAAATCGCGAAATTGGGGAGCACAATTTCTGAAGAGATCTTCGTCAACATCGTGCTCCAAGGGCTCGGACCCAAGTGGCGGCCCTGCAAGGCGCTACTCCGACAGCAGGGGGTCATCTCGGAGGCCGCCCTTTGCGCCGCCCTTCTCGTCGAACAAAGGGACATGGACCAGCAACGACCAGCGCCGCGACGAGATAGGGAGCGCCTCGCATTCTTCACCGACAACACAGAAGAGCGACGGCCGCGGCGCCTCTATTGCAAGATCTGCAGAAATTTCGGGCACTTGGCGGATCGATGCAAGCATCGATCTCGCCCTCGCCAGACCAATCCGAGCAACTGGTCCGGCCGACAAGACGCAAGGAATGATACGCGTCCCGCCCCGGGGTACCAACCCCCATCGCGCAACCTGAACTCAACCGTTCAGCAGCAGCAGCAGCCATCACAGGCCGCCCCCGTCCGTAACGTCATGGGGAACATGATCATGACGAGCGGTTCTCGTCGCCCGCGCGCACGCTCACTCTCACCTGAGCCTGCGCCCGACCCAATCGAAGCGTCCTCGAACAACAATCCGTTCAGCACGCATCACGACTACAGCGACGACAACAACCAGGACTGGAATTTGCCAGTCCCGCTGCTTGAGAGCCCTCCGCACGTACCTGATATGCGGCCGGCACCGATCGATTGGATCGCGCGCGAACAATTTCTGAAGGTCGACACTCCGCACATCGTCACTCCGCGACTGGCGCTGCTCGCGCGAAACGACAACAGGCGCTACAACAAGTGGTACCTGGACAGCTGCTGTGGGCAGCACATGGTGGGCTCCGAGCTTTACATATCCAACGCCGTCTCCACCCCTGTCGTCACCTATGTCACAGTGGCGAACAACACAAGGCTGCGCGCAAGCGCGCAAGGCATCGTGGTGCTCAAGGCACGAGGGAGCCGAACGCACATCACACTTAACGACGTGCTGATTGTGCAGAACCTTCGTTTTAATCTCCTCTCGGCGGCACAACTCCTGGATTGCGGAGTCATCCTCAGCACCGACCCTGAGACACGCGACATCCTGCTCCACTTCACGAAGCCGAACAAGACGCGCAAGCAGATCGGACGAGCGCACGCCGAGAACGGCGTATACGTTCTCGATTTCGACATTCCCGACTGCAGCGGCGACTCGCAGGAATTGATTGACCTCGTTCCCCTGCGCTTCGAGCACATCCATCGCCGCGATTGGAAGCACCCTGACGGGCGCCCCTGGGTGCCACACCACCCACATCCGCGCGAGCTGGCGCTGCACGACCCCGATCCCGACGGCGTCTGCAGGGATTGCCACACACCGACGACCTCGACGAGCGCGATCGCCGGCCGCGGCCTTGCCGCCATTCGCGAAGCAGAGCGCGACGCACCGCCTGAGGAGGGCCTCTCCCAACTCGAGCTGGAAACAGCCACACGGGTCGTCTTCGGCACACCGGAACACCCTCTCCCTGGACCCGCATCCCAGCATCTCCAAGGAATGCTCCGCGGCGTCGGCGTCGGTACCTTCGACACACATGGGAACCCTCGGCCCTACACCGAGAAGAAGGCAGCATAAATATACGCTCACCGACGCGATCCGAAGAAACGACTCTCGCCTACGGAGGAAGAGGCGTTGGCGCAACAAGAAGCCGAAGAGCTTCGGCAGAAGAGCCTCGCCGAGGCACGCGGAACACTCGCTGTGAATCAAGAAAATAGGAAATGAAATGACTAAGTGAAAGTTGGGTACAAAAGGCAAACCCTAGGAAACTGTACCCCATATGTGCTACTCCACTATAGCCTACAGTAGCTATGTCAAATAACTCTGACACACCCCCATAGGCAAAGTGGGGGAGAACAAGGGGTCACAAGACCAGTCAAGCAAAGCAAAGCAAGCTCAGGGTGGATCACAAAGTCACCACACATTCCGAGCACAAGTTCAAGGCCACAAGGCCAGTTCACATGCAGGATTACATATACATATAAGGCTAAACAAGCAAGAGCAGGAGTATATATATATGCAACAGTACAAACAAGGTCAAGAGGTGAGCAAGTGAGGCAAGGTAGGCACAAGACCCAGCTGAGTACAGAAGCGCTGATGATCACAAGGCGCAAGTGCCTTGGTGAAGATATCAGCAGTGTTGGCCTCAGAGGCCACGTACGCAAGTCGCAGCTGACCACGCTGCTGTAGCTCACGAGCAAGGAAGTAGCGAAGAGCAATGTGCTTCGTTCTGTGCTCCAGTCTCTGCTCTCGACACAAGGCCAGCATGGCCTTGTTGTCTACGTAGAGCACTGGAGGAGAACGAGGCGGCTCTCCGAGGTCAGTCAGCAGGTAGGTGAGCCAGCGAAGCTCCTGTGCAGCCATGGCCCCGGCGTAGATCTCAGCCTCGCAACTGGAGCCGAGAACAGAAGACGAGCGAGTAGCCCGCCACGAAACAGAGCCGGAACCAAGGCTGAAGGTGTAACCCTGTGACGACCGCTGCGTAGCCTGGTCGTCAGCCCAAGAAGCGTCTGCGTGTCCAGTGAGGACCACTGGACTCTGCCCTCCAAGCACAAGCCCCATGCCCGATGTACTGCACAAGTAGCGCAACACCCTCTTCGCTGCAGCCATGTGCTCCGGTCTGTGTCTCCCAGGAGCAACATAGCGTGCAAGAATGCTAAGAGAGTATGCAAGGTCAGGTCGTGTGCAGGTCATCAGGTACATGAGGCAGCCAACAAGCTCTGGGTACGGGCCACTCGACTCTACGGACTCATCCGAAGGCAGAGCTGAGAGCGAGTGGCGAGTAGGCAGAGGAGTGGCCTGAGGCGAGGAGTACGTGAAGCCGAAGCGCTGAAGGACCTGCTGCACCATGTGTGACTGAGTCAGGGTAATGGTGCGGCGTGCTCTGTCCCGGGTGATCTGCAAGCCAAGGTAGCTGCGCAGTTCACCCAGGTCTGTGCACGTGTGTCTCTTCTGCAGCTCGGACTTCACGTGGGCGAGTCCAGCAGTGTCAGCTGTGGCAAAGACCAAGTCGTCGACGTACACGAGGATGTAGAACGGCTGCAAAGAAGTGTCGGTGCGCAGAAACAGCGACGGGTCGGCAGTAGAGGGAGCAAACCCAAGAGCCGCAAGTG